AAGCACCGAAAACACTGTAATAATACGAAATATTCCGATTGTATGCTTGGATGTTACCACGGAGGCTGGCTGGTAAACAATGCCACCGGCGGAACATGTGAGCGTGGCTCAGGCCGCACATTGGACGCGTCTCGGACGAAAATCGGTGAGCGGGTTTTTAAGCGGTATGTGAGGCAAAATTTTTGCAATTAAAGCAAGTGGTATGCGGATTAATCGCTATGTGATGCCATCGGTATGCGGGGGTCCACTGTACAGTGGACCCCCACATAACGATCACCTCCAAATGCGACCAATTATGTAAGTGTATTTATGTAAGTGCGTTTGTACGTGTATGTTTGGGGGTCTGAAATGGACTAATCTACTTCACAATATTCCTTAAGGGAACAAATTCGGTCAGTACTGGCACCTGAACATACTTCTGGAGTGAAAAAATATCGTTAACCGGGGGTCCACTGTATTTATATAAAATAGGTAGTAGGTTGGTAGACAGCAACCACCCAGGGAAGTACTACCGTCCTGCCAGATGACTGTGAAACAGAAACCTGTAACTGTTTTGCATGATGATAGGATTGCTGGTTTCTTTTTCTGTCTCATAAACACGCTAGATAACAGGGATATCTTGCTACTCCTACTTACACTTTGGTCACACTTCACAGACACGCACATGCATATATATATACATACATCTAGGTTTTTCTCCTTTTTCTAAATAACTCTTGTTCCTCTTTATTTCTTCTATTGTCCATGGGGAAGTGGAAAAGAATCTTTCCTCCGTAAGCCATGCGTGTCGTATGAGGCGACTAAAATGCCGGGAGCAATGGGCTAGTAACCCCTTCTCCTGTAGACATTTACTAAAAAAGAGAAGACGAAAAACTTTATAAAACTGGGATGCTTAAATGTGCGTGGATGTAGTGCAGATGACAAGAAACAGATGATTGCTGATGTTATGAATGAAAAGAAGTTGGATGTCCTGGCCCTAAGCGAAACAAAGCTGAAGGGGGTAGGGGAGTTTCGGTGGGGGGAAATAAATGGGATTAAATCTGGAGTATCTGAGAGAGTTAGAGCAAAGGAAGGGGTAGCAGTAATGTTGAATGATCAGTTATGGAAGGAGAAAAGAGAATATGAATGTGTAAATTCAAGAATTATGTGGATTAAAGTAAAGGTTGGATGCGAGAAGTGGGTCATAATAAGCGTGTATGCACCTGGAGAAGAGAGGAATGCAGAGGAGAGAGAGAGATTTTGGGAGATGTTAAGTGAATGTATAGGAGCCTTTGAACCAAGTGAGAGAGTAATTGTGGTAGGGGATCTGAATGCTAAAGTAGGAGAAACTTTTAGAGAGGGTGTGGTAGGTAAGTTTGGGGTGCCAGGTGTAAATGATAATGGGAGCCCTTCGATTGAACTTTGTATAGAAAGGGGTTTAGTTATAGGTAATACATATTTTAAGAAAAAGAGGATAAATAAGTATACAAGATATGATGTAGGGCGAAATGACAGTAGTTTGTTGGATTATGTATTGGTAGATAAAAGACTGTTGAGTAGACTTCAGGATGTACATGTTTATAGAGGGGCCACAGATATATCAGATCACTTTCTAGTTGTAGCTACACTGAGAGTAAAAGGTAGATGGGATACAAGGAGAATAGAAGCATCAGGGAAGAGAGAGGTGAAGGTTTATAAACTAAAAGAGGAGGCAGTTAGGGTAAGATATAAACAGCTATTGGAGGATAGATGGGCTAATGAGAGCATAGGCAATGGGGTCGAAGAGGTATGGGGTAGGTTTAAAAATGTAGTGTTAGAGTGTTCAGCAGATGTTTGTGGTTACAGGAAAGTGGGTGCGGGAGGGAAGAGGAGCGATTGGTGGAATGATGATGTGAAGAGAGTAGTAAGGGAGAAAAAGTTAGCATATGAGAAGTTTTTACAAAAAGTGATGAAAGGAGGGAAGAGTATATGGAGAAAAAGAGAGAGGTTAAGAGAGTGGTGAAGCAATGTAAAAAGAGAGCAAATGAGAGAGTGGGTGAGATGTTATCAACAAATTTTGTTGAAAATAAGAAAAAGTTTTGGAGTGAGATTAACAAGTTAAGAAAGCCTAGAGAACAAATGGATTTGTCAGTTACAAATAGGAGAGGAGAGTTATTAAATGGAGAGTTAGAGGTATTGGGAAGATGGAGGGAATATTTTGAGGAATTGTTAAATGTTGATGAAGATAGGGAAGCTGTGATTTCGTGTATAGGGCAAGGAGGAACAACATCTTGTAGGAGTGAGGAAGAGCCAGTTGTGAGTGTGGGGGAAGTTCGTGAGGCAGTAGGTAAAATGAAAGGGGGTAAGGCAGCCGGGATTGATGGGATAAAGATAGAAATGTTAAAAGCAGGTGGGGATATAGTTTTGGCAGTGGTTGGTGCAATTATTTAATAAATGTATGGAAGAGGGTAAGGTACCTAGGGATTGGCAGAGAGCATGCATAGTTCCTTTGTATAAAGGCAAAGGGATAAAAGAGAGTGCAAAAATTATAGGGGATAAGTTGTTGAGTATACCTGGCAAAGTTGTATGGTAGAGTTATTATTGAAAGAATTAAGAGTAAGACAGAGAATAGGATAGCAGATGAACAAGGAGGCTTTAGGAAAGGTAGGGGGTGTGTGGACCAGGTGTTTACAGTGAAACATATAAGTGAACAGTATTTAGATAAGGCTAAAGAGGTCTTTGTGGCATTTATGGATTTGGAAAAGGCATATGACAGGGTGGATAGGGGGGCAATGTGGCAGATGTTGCAGGTGTATGGTGTAGGAGGTAGGTTACTGAAAGCAGTGAAGAGTTTTTACGAGGATAGTGAGGCTCAAGTTAGAGTATGTAGGAAAGAGGGAAATTATTTCCCAGTAAAAGTAGGCCTTAGACAAGGATGTGTGATGTCACCGTGGTTGTTTAATATATTTATTGATGGGGTTGTAAGAGAAGTAAATGCGAGGGTCTTGGCAAGAGGCGTGGAGTTAAAAGATAAAGAATCACACATAAAGTGGGAGTTGTCACAGTTGCTCTTTGCTGATGACACTGTGCTCTTGGGAGATTCTGAAGAGAAGTTGCAGAGATTGGTGGATGAATTTGGTAGGGTGTGCAAAAGAAGAAAATTGAAAGTGAATACAGGAAAGAGTAAGGTTATGAGGATAACAAAAAGATTAGGTGATGAAAGATTGGATATCAGATTGGAGGGAGAGAGTATGGAGGAGGTGAATGTATTCAGATATTTGGGAGTGGACGTGTCAGCGGATGGGTCTATGAAAGATGAGGTGAATCATAGAATTGATGAGGGGAAAAGGGTGAGTGGTGCACTTAGGAGTCTATGGAGACAAAGAACTTGGTGAAAGTTTTTCTTTTTCGGGCCACCCTGCCTTGGTGGGAATCGGCCAGTGTGATAATAAAAAAAAAAATTATATGTATCACTCTTAGCTCTCTATTTAATATGTATCGTTTTTTTTTTCTTAATTGTAAGTTATAATGAATAGTCAGTTTCAGTATGCCAGAAGTGCTCTGCATAATAGCATGTACTTTTGTGTATCTATTTGTAAATACAGTGGACCCTCGACTAACGCTATTAATCCGTTCCTGAGAGCTCATCGTTAGTCAAAATAATCGTTAGTCAAGTTAATTTTCCCCATAAGAAATAATGGAAATCAAATTAATCCGTGCAAGACACCCAAAAGTATTGAAAAAAAAATTTTTAACACATGAAATATTAATTTTAATACACACAAACTGAAGAAGACATGCACAGTTACATGACACTTACCTTTATTGAAGATCTGGTGATGATTGATGGGATGGGAAGAGGGGAGTGTGTTGATGGTCTTAGTGTTTAGAAGGGGAATCCCCCTTCCATTAGGACTTGAGGTGGCAAGTCCTTTTTCGGGGTTACTTCCCTTCTTTTAATGCCACTAGGACCAGCTTGAGAATCACTGGACCTCTGTCGCACAACATATCTGCCCATAGAGGCCTGTACCTCCCGTTCCTTTATGACATTCCTAACGTGTTTCACAACATTGTCAGTGTCACCATTAAACACTTGTTCAGGTTTCAGTCCTTCACTGTCTATGTACTCCTTGAATTCCTGCACATATTTTTCAGCTGCTTTTTGGTCCAAACTGGCAGCCTCACCATGCCTTATCACACTATGTATGCCACTACGATTCTTAAATCTCTCAAACCAACCTTTGCTGGCCTTAAATTAACTCACATCACCACTAGTTGCTGGCATTTTCTAATTAAATCGTCATGCAACTTCCTAGCCTTTTCACATATGATCGCTTGAGAGATGCTATCTCCTGCTATCTGCTTTTCGTTTATCCATACCAATAAGTCTCTCAACATCTTCTATCACTTGCGATCTCAGTTTCGAAAACATAGTTGCACCTTTGGCAAGAACAGCTTCCTTGATTGCCGTTTTCTTGGCCACAATAGTAGCGATGGTTGATTGGGGTTTTGTGTACAGCCTGGCCAGCTCGGAGACATGCACTCCACTTTCATACTTAGCAATGGTCTCTTTCTTCATATCCATAGTAATTCTCACCCTTTTTGCTGTAGTGTTGGCACTAGAAGCTTTCTTGGGGCCCATGGTGACTTATTTTGCAGGTGCAATCACTAAAAAGGCTGTGATAATATGAAATGTTCCGATTGTATGCTTGGAAGCGACCGCGGTGGCTGGCTGGCTTGTAAACACTGGCCAGAAGTGGACGCGTCTCAGACTGAAGGAATAGTGTTGGTCGAGTTTTTTAGCGCTAATCGAGGCAAAAATTTTGCGATAAAATGTATCGCTAGTCAGATTTATCGTTAATCGATGCCATCGCTGGTCAAGGGTCCACTGTATTATCAACTGTTTTTGGAAATAAAATTAATTATCTTTTTAATAAGCATCAAGCAGCTCCATTGCTGCTACTGCTTCTAATGTATTTACAGTAATATAAAGGTCTAGTCCTGTTATGTTCTCACTCTTGTTCTTTGGCATTACATAACTCATGCGTGTATTTGCTTTTTCGTGTATCAGGAATGTTGCAGAAGTAGCTCGAGAAGCTTGGATAGAAACTCTTGATCCTAGTGGAGAAAATCTTCACGTGGGCCTCATTCATTTACATCCCAAAGTGTTTGCTACCTACCCAAGGCTAGATATCATCCATGAAAATGTAGTCTGGCAGCAGAAGTATCGCATGGTGGTAAGTTTATATAATTCATGAACCCTGGCATTTAAAATAGGCTTGTTATCACATTAGATAGAAGTGAGTGATTTTTTTTTTGTGCTGTTGAAGTGTCAGCAAAGTAACACTTAAAAAAAGGATTAATGGAAACAGGTTAGCTGGACTTGAGTTCTGGAGGTGGGCAGTACAGTTCCTGCAATCTGAGAAAGAATGAGGGTGTTGCAGTGTGGAGGATCATCTGAACTGTGATGTTAACATATGTTCAGGAAAACAGTGATTGAGTGAATTGGGTTAAAGGTGTTTCCTCTTTTTGGGTCACCTTATCTTAGTGGGAATGGCCAGTGTGTTAAAAAAATAAACCAGTGTCAATATCCATGGTCCACAACTATTCACCCTGCTATGGGCTGATATAACAAATGTTGCCAGAACAAAGGTAGGCAGTTGCAAGTGGAAATTAGACTTCTACCTTCAAGTGCCTGATCAACCAAGCTGTAATAGCTATGTAGGACTGCAGATCACTAGGATCAACAAGCTTCTTGACAAAGTAATCAAGAAAGTCTGACCTCAAGCCAGGCTACAGGGGTAGAAGAATCCTTAAAACTGGGAACTGGGGCTCAGAGTGTTTCTAGTCTTACAGCAAATGTAGTCTTACAACAAATGTAGTATATTTCATGTGTTTATAGATATTTGTATACAGTATTTATGCAGCAGGGGTGTTGACCCCTGAAACCATCTCCAGGTATACTTTACCTAGTATTAACTAATAAAATTCAGTGCACAGTACTTAGTCAATTTACGCAAGGTACTCCTTTCAGAATACTTCACATACCAAACTGCGGTCAGAGGTTCGAGGAGGGGGTAGGAAACCATGGCCACAAAAGGGAACAGGACGAGCAAGACATGGTTCCATTCGGTGAGTATGAAGTGATATTTAAAGGCTTTCTAACACATTAAGTGGTGTACATTGCTTTTTTTTTTAGTTCTTTTCCTGTAAATAATGTAGACATTTGCAACTAACAAAATATAAAAATTATCTTCACCCTTCTTAAGCAGTACAGTAAGACAGAATTGTTTTGAGTAGGTTTAAGTTAACACTTTCAAGCTCAGTTGTTACATCAGTGATGGTTAGTATTCATTAGTTAATAAGTGTTGACTCTGTTGACTTACACATTTGAATTTACAAGCTAGCCCTATCCAAGGTATACTACCACCCCTCAGGATGTGACCCAGATTAGCTGGCTAACACCTAAGTACTTGTTTGCTGCTAGGTGATCATGCACAGTGTCCCCACCCATACCAGGGTCAAGTCTGGGTCCTTTGGTTGTTAGTCAAACGTGGTACCACTGTGAAATATGTGACTGAAATTTCTTAGTGATGTACAGTGCTCCTGCAAATTCACAGTGGGTTACATTCCTGCAGGTCCCAGTGAATATAACACTGGTGTAGACTTCTCAATTCTGTACATACAGTTAATATATTTTTTTTAAATTGGGGTTCATTTTGTCTTTTAGAAAGTTTGTATATTTAAATATTGTACTAATTTCACTAATACAGTGAAATTAGTGCCCCAACATACGAGTTTTTCGAATTACGAGCTGTCGCTCGGTCGATTTTTTGCTCTGAGTTACGAGCCAGAATCCGAGTTACAAGCGACCTTCAAAACACCGCCACTAGTTGGCACAGCGAAAACCACAACATCTGCTCAGCAGTGCACATGTTTACCTCGCCATGGAAGCATTTCTCTTGTGTTGTGCTTGCGGTTTGCACAGTTATTTGGCCAAATTTCTTTTTTCTAACCATGGGTCCTAAGAAAGTAAGTTCAAAGGACAGTGTTGAGAAGAAAAAGAGGATGATGTCCATTTAATTAAAGAATGAAATCATAGATAAACATAAGCAAGGTGTGCCCACTCTCCATCTCCGCCAGCATCTGTTCTCCAAGGAAAATACTACTTACACTTTATAAAACCAGTTTATTTCTTTACATTCTCTATTATGTTTTATTATGTTTTTATACAATATTTCTTATTTATAAATACATTGTTTCAGTTTTTCTTTATGAAACTAGTGATCTAGTGCAGTTAGCCTCACAAACACTGTTTTCAGAAGGGAAAGAATGGGAAAATATGTTCAGAGCAGGAGTGGCTGCTACCACTCATCACATAATGACATATTTTATCCATATTAGAGTATATATCATGTTTCTATGTTATTTATATTGTTTATTATGTCATATTAGATCAATTTTGATAGACAAATAAACCGTAGAGCTGATATTACTATTATATTGAAGTATTTTCTCGTGCCTCCCGAGAGCCGGAATTCCACTGGAATGGATTAATGGCATTTCAGTTAATTTCAATGAGGAAAGTTGATTTGATATATGAGCAAATTGAGTTATGAGCTAGGTCACAGAACAGATTAAACTCATAAGTCAAGGTACCACTGTACTGACTTTCCTAAGAATGAGTATCCACACACAAAAAAATATGGGTGTAGGAAAATCCAGTGAGCACATTTTGAATGAACTCACAGGTTGGTTTACCTTGTAAATGTCATTCATCAGGTCATGTGCTAAGCCTGAATAAAATAAGCACCTCAAATAACTAAAAAAGTATTCAAAATTTTTTGTGGGAGACTCATTTAAAGTATACTAAGGGTATCGTAAATTTGCATGGAGCACTCTACGGAGACTTCAAGTGGGGTGTCAAATTACTTGAATTTTTTTTTTTTTCAGTTCGCCATTGTGGAAAGGTGGGGGTGTGGTACATGGCCCAAGAGCATTCACCACGCAGTTCTACATGTTGTCATTTGGAAAAAGAATAATGGGCCTTACCTCCACTTTATCAGCTAAATTTGCACAGGTGATGCTCTGTATAAGAACTTTGCATTAGTTTGAGTGCATGGATTAGCTGAATTTTCTTCATCATTTGTATACTGTAATGCAAAGTTTTTTTTTTTAACACAGCCATCTCCCACCAAGGTAGGGTGGCCCAAAAAAAACGAAAACACTGTCACCATTATTCACACATAATCACTGTCTTTGCAGAGGCACTCGGATATGACAGTTCAGATGTCACTCCAAACAGCAAATATCCCAGATTTTTTTTTTTTTTTTTTTTCTCCCAACAAGTCTGCCGTTTCCCACCGAGGCAGGGTGACCCAAAAAAGAAAGAAAATCCCCAAAAAGAAAATACTTTCATCATCACTCAACACTTTCACCACACTCACACATTATCACTGTTTTTGCAGAGGTGCTCAGAATACAACAGTTTAGAAGCATATACGTATAAAGATACACAACATAACCCTCCAAACTGCCAATATCCCAGATCCCTCCTTTAAATTGCAGGCATTGTACTTCCAGCTAACCAGTTTCCCAGAATCCCTTCACAAAATATTACCCTGCTCACACTCCAACAGCTCATCAAGTCCCAAAAATCATTTGCTCACACATGCCTGCTGTATGTCCATACTCCTTTCACACAAAACCTCTTTTACCCCCTCCCTCTATCCTTTCGTACTTAATTCTGTCAATATCTCTTATTTATTATTTCGTACATTACTAGCCACTCAAGGGAGGTTCCTTGATGCTGATGAAATGCTCATGATCCAAAGAATTGGATCTGACTTCCTTTTTACTGAATTGAACCTGATTGCTTCCAGGCACTGTATGACCTCTATGGGTTTAGAACTTCCCTATTCATGTAACAATATTCATTACTAGTTTCCTACAGATTGTGATCTGATGGACAACAATCGCCTTGGTAGTACGTACTACTGTCCTGTCATGAAAATGAATGTAAGCTAGTTAAAAGATTTGCTCTATGACAGAATTAGTGTTATCTTTCTGTCTCATTAACATGTAAGATGACAGGTTTATATCTTACAAAATTTTGTTTACATTTAGTATATGGTTAGCTTCAGAGTCGTATACATTTCTTAAGGGATCTTATTCCAAAAATATTTCCATTGCCATTTAGGATGCTTGGTCTGAGACTGGGCTGCAGGGATGATCGCCAAAAACATTAACTGATGGGTGATAGAATATTAAAAGTCATTTGTTCAAATTTTATGCTGAAACTGAATCAGTGGAGTCTATAATAAAATACCCTTCAAGGGATCTATGTTGATACTAATGAAGGGCTCAAATTACAAAAAGTTTGAGCCACCTTCCCTTTCCTCTGATCAAACCTGATGACAGGACCTTTCATTCCCCAGGTGCAGAATGTCCCTTATAGGTTTAACACTTTCCCCATGAATATACTGCAGTAATGTGAGTTGAATATTTAGAGAAGCGGAAGTGTGTAAAAGTCTATTAGATTTACCATTCATCTTGCATGTTCATGAGACAGAAAGAAAAGTACAGCAGTTGTGCCAGGGTGCAAAATATTTATCAGACTTCAGTTTCACACTTATGACAGAACATTAATGCCTCTCTGTATGATTGCTGTCTACTAAACTACTGTCTACCTGTGATGTTAATGGGTATACAGTAGGTAGTTTCTCTTAAGCAGCACTGTGTGTTATTGTGATCTACCCTTTTCCCACCTTACCTAATTCTTTACATTTTATATGAAAGCAATAGATTCATATACATTAAACAACACTTGCAGTGTTCAGCCATCTTCACCATTTATTTACATCAAAATAGAATGCTGCAGGTTGTCTTGGGAAAAATTAACATTCAAATTTAATCTACACTGAATATTTTGTGCATTGTGTAGCTGTCATGTTTTTGAGGCAGATATTGCAATCTTTGTTTATAAAGCATTGATTGTCTTGCCAAACAAGCTGAGTGTAAATTCATAATTGCAGTATCTCTGCAAAAATCAGTCTGAGCAGCACAAAAATAATATACTACAGGTATTTCATTGATGTTAAATAATACTTTGTTATATCTAAATGTAGAGTAGCCTAAGAGAGGTTGGTAGGATTAACCTTCATTACATTAGGTCAGGAATGTAGAGGAGAAAGAGAGGGAGACAGATTTTGGGAGGCATTCAGCAAAGGTTGAGGGAGTTTTAAGCCAAGTGAAAGAGTAATTATAGGTGACCTATATTATAAAGTGGGCGGGGGGAATTATAGAGAGCATAGTAGGTAAGTTGGGAGTGTCAGGGATAAATGATATGATGAAGGGGCCTCTAATAAATTTATTAAAGAGATTAAGTAATAGTTATTATTTATTTTTAAGAAAGAGGATAAACAAGTATGAGATGTGGAGTAGTGTGTGATGACAGCACTTTGCTAGGCCATGTAACTGAATAAAGGAGTGGTAGATGCAAGTTGTAATTCATAGTTATACTTAAAAGAATTGTTAAGCTATTTCTGTCATAGGTCAGTATCTGATGACCACCTTAAAACTGTTTCATCCTTAAATGCTTAACAATCTATATTAAGTTTGTGTCAACTACATAATTGTTGTGTTGTATATATCTGTTTTCCACAGGATGATCTCAAGATTGTAGAGAACCTTGATATGCCTTCCGATGAAGCTGGATTTTTGGAAAAGCTCTGTGAAGATCGCTGCTGGGGACCATCTGTTTTATTTGTGGATGAGTATGTCTTTTAATTTCTCAGATTTATTTCACATACAGTAGACTGTCGATTAAGACGGTAGTTAGGGTCCTGAAAATGCAGTGTTAGACGAATCAATGTTAAAGAAACTGAGGAACTTGTGGGAAAAATAGGGTTACGTTCCTGGAACCCACAAAAAAAGGCCAAACAATTTTTTTTAGGTTTCCAGATCTTAGGAAAGTAAAAATGATAATGTAATTGGTGTTCGTTGTCATTACGTATGTTATTTCTATTGTTCAAGGCTACAAGTGCAACAGAAATAATATTTCGTACTTGAAATTGTGGTTGCTGGTGTTTGTCGATGATTGTGAAGGAGGGAGTGGAGAGGCATGCCAAGGCCCATCTGGGCTGAGATGGATGGTAGTCCAGTCAGTAAGTCATCCAGTCAAGTGAGTCAGTAGGTCAGTCAGTCAAGTCAGTACAGTCATTCAGTTTAGTGGGTCACTCATTCAAGTTAGTCAATCAAGTCATTCAATGAATCAGTAAGTCGATCAGCAAAGTCATTCAGTAAATAAGTCAGTTTGGTCAGTAAGCCAGTGAAGTCAGTAAATCAGTCAAGTCAATAGGTCAGTCAGTCAAGTAAGTCATTCAGTAAATCAGTCAAGTCATTAGATCAGTAATTCAGGAAATCAGTTGTCATTAAATAAATCGGTCAAGTTAGTCAGTTAAGTAAGTCATTCAGTAAATCAGTCAAGTTGGTGATTCAAGTCAGTAAGCCAGTCAAGGCATTCAGTAAATGGTCAAGTCAATAGGTGCCCCGTGGCCTGGTGGCAAAATCTCTCTTCACACGGTGAGGGTCAGGGTTCGATTCCAGGCGAAAGGGTGGAAACATTGGACATGTTTCTTTACACCTGTTGTCTATGTTCACCCACCAGTAAAATGGGTATCAGGGTGTTAATCGACTGGTGTGGATTGCATCCTGGGACAAAAGTGACCTAATTTGCCCGAAATGCTCAGCATAGCAAGCGGCTTTTTATATAGTAGTATGTCATTGATGTCAGCTAGGCCTGTTGAGGGACTGATTACCTCATTCTCCTCCTGTTCTTCAAGATTCTCCTTTGTATGGACTGATGAAACCACTGTGTGGCGAAACGTTTCCTCAATAAAGATACCCAAGAGTTGCACGTGTCTAGTTTATCATCAGGTCAGTCAAGTCATTCAGTAAATCAGGTCAGTCAATCATTCAGTAAATCAGTCAAGTCAGTAAATCAGGTCAATCAGTCATTCAGTGAATCAATCAGGTCAGTAGGTTAGTCATAATGTCAGTAAATCAGACAACAGCCCTGGTTATTCATTGCACAAGCCCATATATTTGCTTCACTCTTTTTAATCATACGAACCAATGCTTCATTAAGGCCATAAGCTCTCACCCTGTCCACCACACAGGCACCACATTTAAGCTTATCTGATATCTCGATTTTCTTCATAATTCCAAGACTTGAACTTTTTTTACTTTATCTTGCCACTTCCTGCATCATTTGCATGCCTCCTGGGTACCATGGTTCCTTAGCAGATGCATTGTATGGTAATGAAAAGACTATAAGCCGATATACGGACAGTGCTGGGTACCTTACTGGATGCATACCAAGCACTGGTAGAGGTGGCAGGGTAGGAAACTAGGGCCTTTCCCGTAGAAGACAGTGGCTTGACCCGCAGGCAGACTGCCTACTGCTCACTACACAGAGGGGAAGATCCCCGCCGTCCATCTTGCAGCACTGAAATTTTTTCCCTACCAAGCGCTGAAATTTTTTTCCCTACTAAGGAACAGAACTGTTTAAATTGAATTTTATGAAGTAAAATGAAAATATGCCACAATTTGACAATAGGGTTATGGAGTAAACATTTTAAAGGAAACCATTTTAATCGATGGTCTATTATTTATATATGCACGTTCTCTAAGTACAGTGCATGTAAAATTCATATTAATCCTGAAAGAACTCAGAATATCAACTGACTTCCAACTTTCCAATTAGTCCAATATCCTAACTTTTCCTTCATGTCTTAGATCAAGTACTAGGTATATGATCTTGAAAGCAAGCAAGCCAGTCTTGAATTGCGTCTTGATTTTCTTTCATGCTTAATGAGGTACCATTTAGTTGGCAAATGGTGCCACCAGATTTGGTAAAGGGACATGGAATGCAGAGCAAGTCTTTATACTGATAAATTTTGCCTACTGTTGAATTATAACCATAAAAATAATGTACTGTATCATATTTATACTATATAAGATGCAATTTTCTAAGTATATAGCCGGACTTGAGTCCTGGAAATGGGAAGTACAATGCCTGCACTCTAAAGGAGGGGTTTTGGGATATTAGCAGTTAGGAGGGATATGTTGTGTATCTTTATATGTATATGCTTCTAAACTGTTGTGTTCTGAGCACCTCTGCAAAAACAGTGATTATGTGTGAGTGAGGTGAAAGTGTTGAATGATGATGAAAGAATTTTCTTTTTGGGGATTTTCTTTCTTTTTTGGGTCACCCTGCCTCGGTGGGAGACGGCCGACTTGTTGAAAAAAAAAAATGTACCCCAAATATCGTGAACCTTACACTCTGAAGGTGTATAATCAGACATCTTAGTAAGTCCATAGGCATTGGTAAGCTATAATATACCTTGATTCTAGCCAGCATGTGTGTCCAAATGTAGGTAGATTGGCAACCACTGTGTAGAACGATATTGCCATCTTGTCATGTCGTTTCAAAATGAAAAGCTGTTAAAAATTTTGTGCTTGCAGAATTACTGGCCTTTTCTGTTCTGTAAATATATGAGAGGACAGGTATATATAACAACCAACTTCTTACTTTCAGTATACACTTACCTTTGATTTCTTGTGTGGTTTTAATGTGGTAGTACTTTATCCCTTCAATATTCAGTGGTGTGATTTTCCCATGTTTAATAGAATTCCTTTGTTTGAAGATGCTCAAGCTGTCACATATGAGTCACAGATTCATCGAGGAAAACATTTTTACATTGATTAAAACTTACTGTATAATGTGATCTATATAATTGCTGACATTCAGAATTTTCTATTCATGAATATTATGTATAATAAAAGTTTTTTTTTTCCAACAAGTCGGCCATCTCCCACCAAAGCAGGGTGACCCAAAAAGAAAGAAAATCCCCAAAAAGAAAATACTTTCATCATCATTCAACACTTTCACCTCACTCACACATAATCACTGTTTTTGCAGAGGTGCCCAGAATACAACAGTTTAGAAGTATATACGTATAAAAATACACAGTATATCCCTCCAAACTGCCAATATCCCAAACCCCTCCTTCAGAGTGCAGGCATTGTACTTCCCATTTCCAGGACTCAAGTCCAGTTATATAAAATAACTGGTTTCCCTGAATCCCTTCACTAAATATTGCCCTGCTCACACTCCAACAGCTCGTCAGGTCCCAAATACCATTGTCTCCATTCACTCCTATCTAACACGCTCACGCACACTTGCTGGAAGTTCAAACCCCTCGCCCACAACACCTTTACCCCCTCCCTCCAACCTCTTCGAGGACGACCGCTACCTCGCCTTTCTTCACCTGCAGATTTATACGCTCTCCATGTCATTCTACTTTGATCCATTCTCTCTAAATGACCAAACCACGTCAACAAACCCTCTTCAGCCCTCTGACTAATACTTTTATTAACTCCACACCTTCTCCTAATTTCCACACTCCGAATTTTCTGCATAATATTTACATCACACATTGCCCTTAGACAGGACATCTCCACTGTCTCCAACTGCCTCCTCGCTGCAGCATTTACAACCCAAGCTTCACACCCATATAAGAGTGTTGGTACGACTTTACTTTCATACATTCCCATCTTTGCCTCCATAGATAACATTTTTTGTCTCCACATATACCTCAATGCACCACTCACCTTTTTTCCTTCATCAATTCTATGATTAACTTCATCCTTCATAAATCCATCCACTGACACGTCAACTCCCAAATATCTGAAAAAGTTCACTTCTTCCATACTCTTCCCCAATTTGATATCCAGTTTTTATTTATCTAAGTCTTTTGATACTCTCATCACCTTACTCTTTTCTATGTTCACTTTCAACTTTCTACCTTTACACACACTCCCAAATTCGTCCACTAACCTTTGCAATTTTTCTTTAGAATCTCCCATAAGCACAGTATCATCAGCAAAAAGTAATTGTGTCACTTCCCATTTTGTATTTAATTCCCCATAATTTAATCCCACCCCTCTCATGAACACCCTAGCATTTACTTCTTTTACAACCCCATCTATAGATATATATTAAACAACCATGGTGACATTACACATCCCTGTTTAAGGCCTACTTTTACCAGGAAGTAGTCTCTTTCTCTTCTACACACCCTAACCTGAGCCACACTATCTTCATAAAAACTCTTCACAGCATTTAGTAACTTACCACCTATTCCATATACTTGCAACATCTGCCACATTGCTCCCCTATCCACTCTATCATATGCCTTTTCTAAATCCATAAATGCAATAAAAACTTCCCTACCTTTATCTAAATGCTGCTCACATGTATGCTTCAATGTAAACACTTGATCTACACATCCCCTACCCACTCTAAAACCTCCTTGCTCATCCACAATTCTACATTCTGTCTTACCTCTAATTCTTTCAATAATAATGAAAGTATATTAGTATAAATATATTGACACTCAGTTCATGTAAATGGAAACATGTGCATTGTTTGAATATTCTATTTAGGCTGAGTTTTGCTCAACAAGACACATGCAACACTTGGGTATCTTTATTGGAAATCTTTCGCCTACCAGTGGCATCTTCATAAATAAAATAGAGAATAAATGGTTAATTTCAGGTGATCAGTTTCTCAGCCTTGATAGGTATCCAGTCTGTCAGCCTTGGTAAGTATAAAGTAGATGCACTTGTATACTGGAGACAGGTGAGGTGAGGCAGTTTGAGAAGACGTCACAGGTGGGTGGAGCTCTTTAATGGAAGTAGGGCCAATGGGTTAGTGAAACATTAAAGTTGTAGAAAAATTCTCTGTACTAAGATTCCAAGATGTTACTGTGTCAGATTAATGATACACAAAACTGGCAAGTGGATGAATATGACACATGTACATTGCCTGGGTATCTTATTGTAGAAATGTTTAAACAATAAGTGGCTTTATAATTAAATAAAATAGAGAATAAATGGTGGAATATGTGACAAGGTAATTTGAGGCGATCAGTCCTGATCAGCCTAGCCTATTGGCATGACTTAATTCTGCTAGTGGGCTCCACTCACCTGTGATGTCATCTCCAGCTGCTTCACCTCACCTGTCTCCAGTACACGTTTCTATCTTTGTACATCTACTTTAGATTTATCAAGGCTAAGAGACTGATCACCTCAGATTATCGTTTCGTATCTTCCACCATTTAACCTCTTCATCGTATTGATTAAGCACTTACATTAAAGATACCCAAGTGTTACATGTGTTTCTTATACTTCTACTTGTCAGTTTTGTAAACTATTAATATAGTAATACATTTTGCTTGTTGAGGGAAATAATAAAAAATATTGAAGTGCTGCATTGCATTTGTTTCTATTTATATAAATTGTATGTTATGGAACTGCTTTATTGTAGATAAATTTCAGCTTTTTATTTAAGATAGTTACATTACAGTACTGCATTTATTGAGCTAAAAAGAAAGAATTACTGTATTAGCAGTGTGATTGGAAGTTTTATTAATCATTTATTCTACAATGTTTATTTTATTTTTCAGTTGTGATTTGATGCCACGTAATATAACTGTTGCTACCGATACCATAAATCATATAAACCTCATGCCAGTATATGGTAAGTGGAATATATTGATCAGAAAGAATAAATGGTCTCAGTAGTGTGGCTGGAACAATTCACCAAAAAGACTCACTTAGCAGAGGAACTTTATGACGGTTCTTGCCATAGTGTCTTCTGGCCTTCTCTGTTTGTTTTTTATATTTATATTGTGACCTGACAGTGGTGCAGGATGGACCAAAGCATTGTCATAAGGTTTCTCTCCAAAGTGTGGGTTTTTGATGAGTATTGACCAGTTTTGATTTACTGCAGAACAAACTTTTTTTTTTAACATGCCAGCTGTCTCCCACTAAGGCAGCATAACTAAGAAATGCTTTTTTCTTCTTTTTACATTTAGTAATTTATACTAGCTCCTTGCTCCTGGCATTTTAGTTGCCTCTTTTATGACATACATGGCTTACGTAGAAAGGATTCTTTTCTTTTGGGTCAACCTGTCAGTTCTCCGAGCCATTTATCTACATTTATCATATATATGATAGGATAGATAGGGGAGCATTGTGGCAGATGTTGCAAGTGTATGGAATAGGTAATAAGTTCCTAAATGCTGTAAAAAGTTTTTGAGGATAGTGAGGCTCAGGTTAGGGTGTGTAAGAGAGAGAGAGAGATCACTTTCCAGTAAAAGTAGACCTTAGACATGGATGTGTAATGTCACCATGTTTTAGGTAGTAGGTTGGTAGACAGCAACTGCCCAGGGAGGTACTACCGTCCTGCCAAGTGAGTGTAAAATGGAAGCCTGTAATTGTTTTACATGATAGCAGGATTGCTAGTAAAGGAGGTTTTGTGGGCGAGGGGCTTGGACTTACAGCAAGCATGCGTAAGTGTGTAGATAGGAGTGAATGGAGACGAATGGTATTTGGGACCTGACGAGCTGTTGGAGTGTGAGCAGGGTAATATTTAGTGAAGGGATTCAGGGAAACTGGTTACTTTTATGTAGCTGGACCTGAGTACTGGAAATGGGAAGTACAGTGCCTGTACTTTAAAGGAGGGGTTTGAGATATTGGCAGTTTGGAGGGATATGTTATATATCTTTATATATGCTTCTAAACTGTTGTATCTGGGCACCTTTGCAAAAACAGTGATTATGTATGAGTGAGGTGAAAGTGTTGAATGATTTATTTATTTATTTATTTATTTATTTAATAATTTGAACATACATACAGAGGTACAAAAAAAAATACAGGTAAGAGCAGCATGCCAAAGCCACTTGTATGCATAGCATTATGGGCAGGCTTAAAATTAACTTAAGATTAACTAAGCAATGATGTAATCAGTGATAAAACATTATTGTAAACAGATAACAATAAAGCACAAATGAGTATTACAAAGACAGGCCATATGGTTGCATGCATTGCTGTACATTCAGTAGAATGGAGTATTCTGTTAGGTAGTGTATTTAAAAAAATAACAAAGTTAGATTGGGTCTTAGGTTTAACATTTATGTGATATAATTGTGAGAAACATTTAAGATAAACAATTTATAAGGTTCAGTTATTCAGTATTTATTTGGTTTTGGGTGAGTAAGTGATCTTTGAGAAGAGACTTGAATTTATAAACAGGTAGTGTTTCTTTTATATTTACAGGTAATGAATTCCAGATTTTAGGGCCTTTTATATGCATTGAGTTTTTGCATAGCGTGAGATGGACATAAGGAACATCAAAGAGTGATCTGTGCCTTGTGTTATGGTCATGTGTTCTGTTGAGGTTGGCAAGGAGATGTTTGAGGGGAGGGTTAATATCAGAGTTAAGTGTTCTATGTATGTAATAGGTGCAGTAATAAGTATGGATGTTTTGTATGGTGAGTAGGTTTAGTGTTTTGAATATTGGTGGAGTGTGCTGCCTGTAGTGGGAATTTTTTATCATTCTGACTGCAGCCTTTTGTTGAGTAATTAGTGGTCTGAGATGGTTAATTGTTGTTGAGCCCCATGCACAAATTCCATAGGTGAGATAGGGGTAAATAAGAGAGTGATATAGGGCCAGGAGGGCTGACTGTGGAACATAGTACCGTATCTTCGATAGTATGCCTACGGTCTTGGAAATTTTCTTAGAAATTTGTTGTATATGTGTATGAAATTTGAGTCTATTATCAAGGTGGATTCCTAAGAATTTTCCCTCTGTTAGCTTTGTGATAGGTGATCCGTTTATCATTATGTTAAGAGGGACATCTGTAGCTCTGTTACCAAACTGAATGAAGTAGGTTTTGTCAATGTTTAGTATAAGTTTGTTAGTCCTCATCCAGGTAGATATTTTCTGTAATTCGGTATTTACAGTATTGGCTAGCATGACTGGGCTCGGGTGAGAGAAGACGTATGTAGTGTCATCTGCAAATAGTGTGGGTTTGAGTAATTGTGAAGCATTTGGTAGGTCATTTATGTATAGGAGAAAGAGAAGAGGGCCAAGGACACTTCCCTGTGGTACACCAACTGTAATTGGTTGTGCGGAAGAGTTTGCCCCATTTGTGTACACATATTGGCTTCTGTTGCTGAGGTATAACTTGAGGTAGTTGAGGGAGTGCCCTCTTATACCATAGTATGACAATTTTATGTGGAGCAAATCATGGTCAACTGTATCAAAAGCTTTACATAAGTCAATGAAGATCCCCAGTGGGACTTATTTTTTCTCTATTGCAGTATATATATGTTCTAGCTTGTGTATAATAGCATCATTAGTATTTTTATTAGGCCTGAATCCAAATTGGCAGGGGTTGAGCATGTTTTGGGAGATGAGGTAGGAGTAGATTCGTTTATGAATTAATTTTTCGAAGATTTTTGAGAGAGGGTGTAAGTTGGATATTGGCCTATAGTTATTCAACTCTGTTTGGTCTCCTCCTTTATGGATCGGGGTGATGATGATGATGAAAGCATTTTCTTTTTGGAGACTTTCTTTCTTTTTGGGTCACCCTGCGTAGGTGGGAGATGGCCGACTTGTTGAAAAAAAAAAAATGCAAGATTTCAGGTACAACTTACACTTAGGTCATACTACACATGCATGTATAAGCATATATATATACACACCCTTCTGGGTTTTCTTCTATTTTCTTACTAGTTTTTTTTTATTTCCTCTTATCCCAAAAACTATTTGTTTCCATTCCTATCTAACATGCTCACACATGCCTACTGTATGTCCAAGCCCCTTGCACACTTTGATACATTATAAAGAAGATTCATTACTAATGCACAATATGGAGATGAAACCTAAGATGATTCTTCAGTTCATCCTGGACCATTATCAGGTTGACTTCATACATTGTCTAAAGTTTCATCTCTAATTGTGGATTAGTTGTGAATTGTTCCAGTCATAGTTACTTATTCTTCATGTTAACCCTTTGACTGTCGCAAGCCCCTTTCTGAAACTCATTTTATGTCGCAAAATTTCTGGAAAAAAAAAATTATTTTTTCTTATGAAACGATAGAGAATCTTTTCCCAATGGTAATGACACCAAAAGTATGAAATTTGGTCGAAAACTCTCGGAATTACGCTCCCACGAAGTTAGCGGTCTCAGTGACATATGTATACGCATTGGCTATTTTGTCGACTTTGAGCCCTGTTTTTGGCCAGTTCCGTTGTTCCAGTTGACCAAACTCATAGTTATTTCTTTAGAACTCCATTTTTTCTATCAGTCGAGTACAAAAAGCCACCCATTTACTGATTTGAACTGCCCAATAAAGTGGTCAAAAATTGGCAATTTGGCCAATTTCACGCAAATTAAAAAAGATGCCAATTTCAAAATAGGGTCCAGAATAAACAATGTAGACATTTTTGGCACTAAAATAACATATCCTCTGTTCATTAGTCGTCTCTCTATGTCCCTCTTATATTACTATTGCTTTCTATTTTGATTTTTTATTCATACAAAAAATACAAAATTTACTGTTACGCAGACCACTGCATTATTGTAAAAATGGTATAAATAATATCAGTGCACTAGTGAAAGAATAGTAGACTCCCCAGTTGACGTGTATTGGACGTGTGGTGTGATTTGCTTACTCCTGAACCTTGGTAAAAATCGAACATTTCCGCTACTTTGAGCTCAATTTCAAGGTCGTTTTCATTGTGAAACTAATCAAAATCATCTCTATTTCTGTAATATGTTTTCCATTTTATCACATGAGACCATGAAAACGAGAATACAACGATAAATACTATACGAAAATACACCTCAAATTCAGCGTTTTAATCCAAAAAAACGGTCATTTTTTTTTTCTCATTATGCACTGCGTGCTGCAGGATTTTTTTATGTGGTGCACACTGACCACACAGACCCATTCTCTCACATGTGGGCCTACCAGCTTTCTCCTGCTTGATTTGAAGCCGCTAGAATTTACACGTATAAATCCTTCTGAAACAGTGGCACGTAAGACGTATGTATACTACTGAAACAGTCAAAGGGTTAAATTTGTGACTGAATACAGTGGGTGCAGTACTGAAAAATAATGTACACTTTTACCTATTACAGTACCATGTTTTTTTTTTTTTTTTTTTTTTGGTGGGGGCATTACATGCTTTATTCTCTGTATTTTTTTTTTTTTTTTCCTTTTTTTTAAATTTCCATAAAGAAATAATAAATTATCTTTTTTGGCAGGGCAAAAGCATTCTTATAGAGTACTTGTGTAAAAAAAAGAATATCATTAACTTGCTTCTCTCTTTCAATGGGGATGCACATAAATAATAAAAATAATAAAGTTATATTATTACAGTACTGTATAATCACTGGTAAGCATTAAACAGAGGTTATACAGTGCCTGGGAATGGACTGAATCAGATTTGATATAAGGAAGGATAATGTAGTTCTGATTCCTTGGATTAAGAGCCCTTCAGCATCAACCAAGATTGTTTTAAATGTTCTGTTATATTTTTTGAAAAATCTTTAGTTATGGACACTATTCCTCTTCAAGAGCCTCTTGCAAAGAGGCTCTTGATCTAAGGAATTAGACCCTTGGGTCTCCTTCCTCAGGCCAAACCTAATTACCCCCAATCCTCCCTTCCTTATCCCATCCTCCCCATCCCTCCTTTTTTTCCTTTCCTCCCCTCTCCCAACCTTCCCTTTTCCCCATCCGATTTGTAGCCTCTGGGGTTCTCCCCTCTGGCATTATGGTTTCTAGGTAGGGGGAAGTATATCGGGGTTCATCCCTCTCCGTGGGGTCCATCGAGAGTAGTGTAGTTTGCCATGGAATCTGGATTATCTGGAGGTGCCCTGCTCTCTTCCTGGAGTTCCAAGAAGCGGGCAGGGTGTCCTTCAGGTGACGGGTGTATCTCCAAAGGCTAACTGTTGGTTCTGGGAGGTGGCAGCTGGAGGAGGTGGCAGCTGGAGGAGGTATGCTTTGTAGCAGGTTTCCCACCGCCCTCTCTTATGTCCGCTGAGGTTTCTCGATAGATGTGAGGTTGCTATCCCAGAATGTTGGTTTACTGGCATGAAGGGTAGGGTATGGCACAGGTTCCACGCTGCATCTGCACTCTTGCGGTCTCAAGGTCCTCTCAGATGAGAGGGGGAACTTACGGCCTTTTCATGTCTTCTAGTGACTGTCCCTCTGCTGTCCCTCTTTTTTTTTTTCTTCTTTTTTCTTTAAAAATAATAAGAAAGAAGTATCGCTATCATGGAGACTTCATTCCCTGATAACCCACCCTCCTCCCAGACCCCTTTCTGTTACTGCATCCTGTTTTGACCCTGCTTTGTTATTGGACCATTCTCCAGACTCTTCCCATACCCCTGTACCTTCTGCTGGTGATGCTTTGCCACCTGCTTCAGGTGCTGAGGCTCCACCCATTTCTGCTAGTGCCTCTACTTCTTGCACGCCTTTAACTATGTGTCCAGCTTTCCCGAATACGGTGCAACAGTTTTTGGATCGCCCACCTACCTCAGGTTGGGCTGCCCACGGTACTATGCCTAAATGTTCCAGACCATTTGCTGACGACGGTTCTTCAATGTCTGCTCATTCCACCCAAAAACTACCTACGCAGTACCCACTTTCTTTATGCACCTTGTTTACAAGTATGCAGTGGACTAAATTCTTTTCCCTACAACCAACATCTCCAACTGATTATCTTTCTTACCATAGTATTGGTAAAGCTCTTTTATGACGTTGTCCAAAATATATCCTTTCACGTTCTTCAAAGCGGTGTATGCATCGTTACAGTTCAGAATGCAGAACAAGCTCATGATCTTTCCCATCTTACTTTTTTTGATAACATTCCGATCACAGTTCACAAGCATGCTACTCTCAATTCTTGCAGTGGTAAGGTAGTTTTACCGCTTACCATTGTACAGAGTGATTTTCTCCCTTGCAGTGATGATATTTTGGAGGAATTAGCCATTCAGGATCTTCCAATTCTCAAAGTGGATACATATGTCTTGCCTGCTCGCGGGCGAAGGCGCTTTCCCAGTAACATCGCCCACTTAACCTTTGACTGCCGTGAACTCCCGTCCTCCATTTATATCGCGGGCCATTACCTAGAGATCTGGAAAGTGGTCCCTACTCCCCAACAGTGTTGAAATTGTTGGCGCTTCGGACACCCCGCTAAATACTGCAGATCTGTGACGGAGTACCGATCTGCGGTGCCACGGATCATGCCAATACATCTTGCAGTCTTTCCCCCACTTGTCTCAATTGCAATGAACCTCATCCTTCCTTTTCCCGCCAATGTCAGGTCTACCTTAATGAACGAGAAATCCACCTCCAAGGAAATCTTTCTCATGTCCCTTATTCTCAAGTAGCTAGGAGACCGCCAACCTTGCCAGTCCCCCCACCTACCAGCTCCTCTGGTGTCATGTCTTCTGGGGTCACCCCCGTCTCTAATTCTTTTGCGGTTCTACCCTCTGAAACCCCCACCTCCTTACCTATTCCTACCTCTACTTCTTCTCATCTACTAGTTTCTCAGTCTGCAAGGCCTCACATGCCTGCATCTTCTTCATGCCTATCACCTGCAAAGTTGAACCTGTCTCATAAGCCCAAGTCTCTTCACATTCCTCCAGTGCTTACAATTCCCCAACAGTTTTCCTTTTCAGCCTCAGTGATCATTTCAGATTTCCCCAGCGCTTTACAAGCCATTAAACAATTTGATTCCCCTCATCCATTGGTCCTTTGTATTCAACTATGGTTGCGCCGTGTGGCTAGTAAAAACAAAGACGTCGTTTTCTGTTGGGTCCCTAGACACTTTGATGTGTAGGGCAGTGAACAGGTGGATGTTGCTGCGCAGTCAGTGGTACATGATCTTCCGGTTTACTATAGTGGTATTCTGTTAAGGGATTATTTTAGTCATCTCTGCCCGTCTTCGTGGCCGTTGGCAACAACAGTGGTCAGACATGCACCTTAACAAATTGCACTGTATTGAACCGCTTTTAGGTTTGTGGCCATCTTATCGCCGTTGCTATACTTGGGAAACTGTGCTCTCCCATCTATGCATCGGCCATACCCACCTTACCCATGGGTATCTCATGGAACGACACCCTATTTCTCTCTGTGAGGTTCGTCGGGTCCCTATTTCAGTTTTTCACCTTCTTGTGGATTGTCTGGTTACCAGCAAACTCGCAGGATTTACCTCCAGTGATGCCGCCACCCTACTGCTCCAACCTTACCTTCCCTCCTTGCGGACAGCCTTTCCTTTGACTTACAATCACTTTTTGACATTTTGTCAGCAACTGCTTTACTGTACAAACTGTGACACATAGCCCTTAGCATACCTTCCAGCATTTTTCTCCCCTTACCTCTGATCCCCTCTCCACCTAGCTGTTTAAAGCCCCGGCTCTATTTTCTGCCCCGCAGCGCTGCATGACCCTTGTCGGTTTAGCTGTTTTTTTATTATAATGATATGGCACTATTTTGTACAGACTAAAACTAGGAAAAGGGGTAATAAACTAGGATTAATAAACTGCCTAATAAAAATTGTTACATAGTTAATGTGAAGCTATTTACAGTGTTAGTTTAATGCATTGCCAGTAAAGGATGAAATTAATAAATAGATATGAAAAGAAAATTAATGAGTTTTCTCTTTTCCAGGACTGAATGTGTACAGCATGTTAAAGCATAATACAGTAGTTCTTACTGTGTCTGCCAGTCAATGTATTGAGGAGAGGATATTGCATCACCTCAATAAGCCAGATTATCATTTAATTAACTGTGCAAAATGCTACAATAAATAATACTAATGCAGTTTTCTGTCATGATAATAGTAAACAAATAATATATCAATTGTATTACACTCTGTCTTGATAAATTAAAATGTTCAAATTGCTGTTGTGTTTAGTCAGAAACATTAAACAGGCAGTTCTTGTTTTCAAAAATTTGTATAGTATTATGAAATTTTGCTCACATGGACATTTTTAATGAAGTATGTACCTTCCACTTGGTACATACTCATCTGTAATCTCTTTAAAACAAAAATGAACACGTGTAAAAAATGAGTGCAAATAAGTCAACACATTACCTAATCAGATCACCTTATGCTCTGTTCTGGTGTGCATCTTGTGAAAGCTTTTATTGTTTTCTAACAATTTGGAGTTTATAACTTGCTAGTTATGTCTGATGAGAATAAAAGTTTTACAAATAGTGATGGTGCTATTATAAAATTCATTAGGGAGCCTGTGACATTAGAAATGAAGGCTGAAATAAAAATTTAATAGGATCTCCAATGTCCATAACATAATGTTATATTTCTGATGCTCATGTATAGTACTATATTTTAGACAAAAAATAAAAGTAGTGATCTTTTTTAGAGAGAGAGATTAGGTTCTACAGGATGTAAACCCCCAATTATTGCATAAACTTTTGTTTAATAGCAACTCACAATGTAAAATTTTCCATTAACTCTCTAAGAACATGGACTTATTGTAGTGTACTTGGATGAGGAAATTAGCGGTACATTTGTTTCACTTTATGTAAATAAATACTCTGTATGTAGTACCAGTAGTTATTTTGAATTAAATCAGTCTACAGTATTGTTTTTTTTTTAACCCGTAAACGGTTCAAATGTATATATACGTTTTTTCAATATTTGAAAGTATGTAAAAAAAGCCTAGGTAGTAGGTTGGTAGACAGCAACCTCCCAGGGAGGTACTACCGTCCTGCCAAGTGAGTGTAAAACGAAAGCCTGTAATTGTTTTACATGATGGTAGGATTGCTGGTGTCCATTTTCTGTCTCATGAACATGCAAGATTTCAGGTATGTCTTGCTACTTCTACTTACACTTAGGTAACACTACACATACATGTACAAGCATATATATACACACCCCTCTGGGTTTTCTTCTATTTTGTTTCTGGTTCTTGTTCTTGTTTATTTCTTCTTATCTCCATGGGGAAGTGGAACAGAATTCTTCCTCCGTAAGCCATGCGTGTTGTAAGAGGCGACTAAAATGCCGGGATCAAGGGGCTAGTAACCCCTTCTGCTGTATATATTACTAAATGTAAAAGGAGAAACTTTTGTTTTTCCTTTTGGGCCACCCCGCCTCGGTGGGATACGGCTGGTGTGTTGAAAGAAAGAAAGATGTAAAAAAAGTAGATCTATTTTTTTTTTACATTTGAAAACATGTAAAAAAAACTTTGATCTACTTTTTTTTTGTTATGTTTGAAAATATGTAAAAAAAAAAAAGTAGATCTACTTTTGTAGCGCCACGCATGTGAACGTTGATCTGCTTGGACAGTTTAAGGGTTAATAATTCCTAACTAGAGATAGTCAAATACACTCTACTACTGAAATCCACTTGCTTGAAATTAAATAATGCTTAATGAAACAATATTAGAGTATACATTTACAGTGGACCCTCAACCAGTGATGGCATCGATTAACGATAAATCTGACTAGCGATACATTTTAACGCAAAAATTTTGCCTCGACTAGAGCTTAAAAACCCGACCAGCGCTATTCGTTCCGTACGAGACGCGTCCACTTTGGCCTGAGCGCGCCTCACTTGTCCCATGGGTGCCAGTGTTTACAAGCCAGCCACCGCGGTCGCTTCCAAACATACAACTGGAACATTTCATATTATCACAGCCTTTGTAGTGATTGCACCTGCAAAATAAGTCACCATGGGCCCCAAGAAAGCTTCTAGTGCCAACCCTACAGCAAAAAGGGTGAGAATTACTATGGAGATGAAGAAAGAGATCATTGCTAAGTATGAAAGTGGAGTGAGTGTCTCTGAGCTGGTCAGGTTGTATAATAAACCCCAATCAACCATCGCTACTATTGTGTCCAAGAAAACGGCAATCAAGGAAGCTGTTCTTGCCAAAGATGTGTTTTCGAAACAGAGATCGCAAGTGATAGATGTTGAGAGACTCTTATTGGTGTGGATAAACGAAAAACAGATAGCAGGAGATAGCATCTCTCAAGCGATCATATGTGAAAAGGCTAGGAAGTTGCATGACGATTTAATTAAAAAAATGCCTGCAACTAGTGGTGAAATGAGTGAATTTAAGGCCAGCAAAGGTTGGTTTGAGAGATTAAGAAGCGTAGTGGCATAGTGTGATAAGGCATGGTGAGGCTGCCAGTTCGGACCACAAAGCGGCTGAAAAATATGTGCAGGAATTCAAGGAGTACACAGACAGTGAAGGACTGAAACCTGAACAAGTTTTTAATTGTGACGAAACAGGCCTGTTTTGGAAGAAAATGCCAAGCAGGACGTACATTACTCAGGAGGAAAAGGCACTCCCAGGACATAAGCCTATGAAAGACAGGCTTACTCTGTTGATGTGTGCCAATGCTAGTCGTGATTGCAAAGTGAAGCCTTTATTGGTGTATCACTCTGAAACTCCCAGAGTGTTCAGGAAAAACAATGTCGTCAAGGCTAATTTGTGTGTGCTGTGGAGGGCAAACAGTAAGGCATGGGTCACTAGGGACTTTTTCTATGACTGGTTACACTATGCATTTGCCCCCAATGTGAAAAATTACCTAATTGAAAAGAAATTAGACCTTAAGTGCTTCCTGGTATTAGACAATGCTCCTGGTCATCCTTCAGATTTGGCAGAGCGACTTTCTAGGGACATGAGCTTCATTAAGGTGAAGTTTTTGCCTCCTAATACCACTCCTCTCCTGCAGCCCATGGACCAGCAGGTCATTTCCAACTTCAAGAAACTGTACACAAAAGCTATGTTTGAAAGGTGCTTTGTAGTGACCTCAGAAACTCATTTTATCATCCTCAATTGTGTAAACATTATAGGTAAGGCTTGGGAGGAAGTGACTAAGAGGACCTTGAACTCTGCTTGGAAAAAACTGTGGCCAGAATGTGTAGACAAAAGGGATTTTGAAGGGTTTGAGGCTAACCCTGAGAATCCTATGCCAGTTGAAGAATCCATTGTGGCATTGGGGAAGTCCTTGGGGTTGGAGGTTAGTGGGGAGGACGTGGAAGAGCTGGTGGAGGAGGACAATGAAGAACTAACCACTGATGAGCTGCTAGATCATCTTGAACAGCAAGAAGGCAGACCTGAGGAAACTGCTTCGGAGGAGGGGATAGAGAAATTGAAGAAGCTGCCTACTTCTAAGATTAAGGAAATGTGTGCAAAGTGGCTTGAAGTGCAAACCTTTTTTGATGAAAATCACCCTGACACAGCTACTGCAAGCCGTGTTAGCAACCTGTACACTGACAATGTTGTGAAACACTAGGAAAGTCATAAAGGAACGAGAGGTACAGGTATCTATGGACAGATATGTTGTGCGACAGAAGTCCAGTGACTCTGAAGCTGGTCCTAGTGGCATTAAAAGAACAAGGGAAGTAACCCCAGAAAAAGACTTGCTACCTCAAGTGCTAATGGAAGGGGATTCCCCTTCTAAACACTAACAAGATCAACGGTCTCCCCTCCTCCCATCCCATCAATCATCACCAGATCTTCAATAAAGGTAAGTGTCATGTAACTGTGCATGTCTTCTTCAGTTTGTGTGTATTAAAATTAATATTTCATGTGGTAAAAATTTTATTTTTCAATACTTTGGGGTGTCTTGCACGGATTAATTTGATTTCCATTATTTCTTACGGGGAAAATTAACTTGACTAACGATTTTTTCGATTAACAATGAGCTCTCAGGAATGGATTAATATCGCTGGTTGAGGGTCCACTGTATTTGGTTAAGATTTTTAGAAGGGCTGTACATGTTTATATAATTTTTCTTAGCAAATTAATTACTAAATATGCCATTTAAAATGTATTGGTGCATGAGAAGCACTGATTCATTAGACAGTTCTTTTTATAGTTTTATGGAAACTTTTAATGCATATGATTATGTATTTTTTCCAATGAACTGGCCATATCCCACCTAAGCAGGGTGGTCTAAAAAGAAAAAACGAGTTTTTCTTTTTAAATTTGGTAATTTGTACAGAAGGGGTTACCAGCCCCTTGCTCCCATATGATTATATTTTTTTTGGTTATTAACACATCGGCCATTTCCCACTTAGGCAGGGTGACCAAAAAAAGAAAGAAAAAACTTTCATCATCATTCAACACTTTCACTATCACTCATACATAATCACTGTCTTTGCAGAGGCGCTCAGATATGACAATTTAGACATCCTTCCAAATGGCCAATATCCTAAACCCTTCCTGTAATGTGCAGGCATTGTACTTCCCATTTCCAGGGCTCAAGTCCGGCTAACCGGTTTCCCTGAATTCCTTCACAAAATATTACTCTACTCACACTCCAACAGCTCGTCAGGTCCCAAAAACCATTCGTCTCCATTCACTCCTATCTAACACACTCACGCACGCTTGCTGGAAGTCCAAGCTCCTCACCCACAAAACTTCCTTTACCCCCTCCCTCCAACCTTTTCAGGGACGACCCCTATCCTGCTTTCCTTCCCCAACGGATTTATATGCTCTCCAAGTCATTCTACTTTGTTCCATTCTCTCTAAATGACCAGTCCACCTCAACAGCTCCTCTTCAGCCCTCTAACTAATACTTTTAGTAACTCCACACCAAATTTCCACACTACAAATTCTCTGCATAAGATTTACACCACACATTGCCCTTAGACAGGACATCTCTACTGCCTCCAGTTGCCTCCTCACTGCAGCATTTACAACCCATGCTTCACACCCATATAAGAGTGTTGGTACCACTATACTCTCGTATATTCCCTTCTTTGCCTCCATGGATAATGTTTTTCGTCTCCACAGATAGCTCAACGCACCACTCGCTTTTTTTTTCTTCATCAATTTTATGGTTTACCTCATCCTTCATAAACCCATCTGCTGACAAGTCAACTGCCAAATATCTGAAAACATTCACTTCTTCCATACTCCCTCCCTCCAAAGTGATATCCAATTTTTCTTTATCTAAATTGTTTGATACCCTCATCACCTTATTCTTATCTATATCACTTTCAACTTTCTGCCTTCACACACCCTCCCAAGCTTGTTCACTGACCTTTGCAACTTTTCTTTAGAATCCCTCAAAAGCACAATATCATCACAAAATGTAACTGTGTCAACTCCCATTTTTTATTTGATTCCCCATAATTTAATCCCACCCCTCTCCCCAACACCCTAGCATTTACTTTTGTTACAACCCCATCTATGAATATGTTGAACAACCATGGTGACATAACACATCCCTGCCTAAGACCTACTTTTACTGGGAAGTAATCTTCCTCTCTCCTATACACCCTAACCTGAGCCTCACTATCCTCATAAAAACTATAGTATTTAGTAACTTGCTACCTATTCCATACACTTGCAACATCTGTCACACTGCTCCCCTATCCACTCTTATCATATGCTTTTTTAAATCCATAAATGCAATGAAAACTTTATCTAAATACTGTTCACATATATGCTTCAATGTAAACACCTGATCTACACATCCCCTACCCATTCTAAAGCCTCCTTGCTCAACTGCAATCCTGATCTCTGTCTTACCTCTAATTCTTTCTTTCTACCATACACTTTACCTGGTATACTCAGTAAACTTCTTTCTTTCAACAAACCGGCCGTATCCCACCAAGGCAGGGTGG